CATGGACCAACTGGGCCTAGAGCCCAGGGCTTCGCCCTCGGTGGGGCCTCGTTTAATTCTTGACTCTGTCTTAAGAAGATGACTCGGATATTTTTGGTCAAATATTATTCCCGTACATATTCTCCGAAAAACAGGGAATTTCAAACTGCTTGTGTCAACTAGTAAAAGTGGTAAAATTGTATTATTATGTGATGACCGTTGTCCATGTCTAGGCCTAGGCCTCATTCTATTATATATTCATTCAACTCATTTAGTCGAAATGCGGCCATCGGTCAAACTGGTTTGTGAGTCGTGAAACATTTATATCTTTCAAATTACAGTTTGTACAAGTATTTGGCAATGCATGCTTTACACTGTCTACTTTTAAAAACTACAGGTAAGGCTTAGTTTTAAATTGGGGCCCAGGACCTCAAAATGTCTTAAGACGTCCCTGTTCGTAATTTTAATGATGAGGACGACACTGAGGTGGCTCCCCCTCCTCTACCTTTCACGCTGCAGCAACTGATTTATTGAAGTTAGGAGAGGGGAGTGCTGGTTAAAGTGCCGCCTTCTACATTTGATCATGGTTCAAAATTACGAGGTCTGTCGCCAATGGCACTCGTTGTGCGTTATAGTGCGACATTAATAAACACGATATACTTTGATTGATTAATCGTAATTTATATTTTCTCAGTATTTTCTAAATTCTATGTTACTAAATATTTTGTTTTTTCTTTCTATTATTATTCTAAATATTATGTTACTAAGCTTTTTGTTACTGTAATTTTTAATTGTAAAAATGTTACAGTCTAAAACTGGTCATAAAAATAAATCTTTTTTATGAAAAGATTCATCATTAAACTAATAGATCCAAAACATAAAAGATTCTAAAAACAATTTTACAGCAATTAGTTATATTATTATAGCTTCAAATTCAGTAGCAACTAAGAAATCCACAAAATTTTCTTTCCTTGTCATGGGTTGCAACGGTAATGCATTATTAATGATCTCTCATTTTTATATTTCATCAATTAAGCCAACCTTCCGAATACCTTCCGTGACTGTACTTTCAAGCGGTTCGCGAACCGTGCATTCTGAATTCTAATAATTTATTCATGCCGAGCGATAAATCGAATCAATACCGACAGGCCTAAAATTAGAAAAGTAGTACATCACAAACTATTAATAAAAGTCACTTGACTGTGCCAAATTTCAGGTTTGTAATAAGACAGATGTTTGGGATATGATTAACTTCAACGATAGCATTTAACGCGTATTTTAACGGAGGGAATATATGTCTAGAGGGAAGTTCGAAACAAAAAATGTGTTACTTAAAAATTAAAATTAAATCTTGATTTTGAGAGGAATTATTGCATGTTTTTGGCACGACTTAATCAATTTAATACATGGGACAATAAAGCGTTTTTATTTTGAGCAAGAAATATATCCTTTTAGGGACAAAATTTTTTAAATAAGAAAAATAAATAATGAATTATAAATTGTTTTACACATACCGTAAAATCCTCCGTATAAGGCGCACCTGTACTTTCAAGCTGTAATTTTTAGGAATATTCGCCATGTATCGTGCACCCCCTTTTTACCAAGAAACCTAAAATGTAGGTGCGCAATGCTCTTAGGTTTTGGTCATTTATTCCAGGTATTATTCCAAACTTTAGAAAAAAAATAGTGTACTTCTAGAACAACAATTCTTTAAGTTCATAAGAAATGTCATTTCTTTTACATAAACAGTATTCTCATCTTTGTAGAAGTCTAATTTTTATTTATGCTCATCTTTTTCAATTCCTACTATTAGCTCACTCTCTCTGAAAATATATTTATCTTATTCAAATTTTCAATCGTTAATAAAATAATTTCTATTCATCCACTCAATTTCAAATAAATTCTTTTAAACTTGTAGTGGATGACAATTGATGTTAATACGGATTTTTCAAATATTAATTGAAAATAACCGGATAATTAATTTAATTTAATTAACTACCGATTTTTGATGCCAACTTAGATTCGTCTCCATTGTTGTAATAATCTAGCTGTTAAAGCAATAACAAAAGTTGGCGTCGAAAACCGGTTTCTCAACCAAACCTTATGTGCATTGTTAAAACAATGCTGACAAATCATGCTCTTTCTTCAATTCTTACTATTATAGTTCACTCTCTCCCTATATATATATATATATATATATATTTTTTTATAATATATATATTATTTATATATATAAAATATATATATAATCTTGTTCAAATATTCAATCTTTGATAAAATACTTTCTATTCATCCATTTAAAGTAGGAATTGACTTAATAAAAAATTTTATACTACTTGTTTTTATTTCTAAAGCTTTCATTTTGGTAACCGGCGTATAACACGTACCCTTAAATTTCAATCTTTTTTTTTGTGTTAAAAATGCACGTTATGTGCCGTATTTTACTGTAACTACATCAAAAATATTATTCAAAAGTCTTTTAATTTTTTTTTTCGGTACTTAAAATTGCGCGACTTATTTCTTAGATTTTCGAATACTCTGGGTCTGGGGTAGGCAGATAGCGACCCGCCAAGACAGTCATTACACGATATATGAGACAGCCAATAGAGTTCTATAATATTCTCTATATTTCAGTCGACTTATATTTATGTGAGCAAAGATTTTCTTGCATGAATATCAACAAGAATAAATATAGATGTAAGTTGGCTGGCATTAACTAACGGTCTGTGACGAGAATTTAAACAAACGATCTCACTCCTGATTTCAAAAAAATTGTAGGAAAGTTTGATAGGCAGGGGCATAGCTACCAACGCTACAATGATACGGGGCCCACAAGCTTCAGGGGCCCCACCGTGTGTAAGCAAAATATCCTAAACTCTTAAGGAGCTTCAAAAAAGGCACCTCAAGAAATTTTGATACCGAGCCCACTCAGGACTATCTACTCCAGTGGTGATATATACAGTAGAACGTCGTTTATCAGAATCAATTGGGACCGGACATCGTTCGGATACGCGATTGTTCGGCTAACCGAAAACCGAATGTGATCCATGCAGAGTATGATACTGAACACTATACAAATATTGAAAATCATCACACATGCGGGAAACGTGCTTGGAAAAAAAAAAAAAGGAAAATAGGTGCAAAATGTCGCAATTTTTCTTTGATTGGGGAAAATAATTAATAATTTTTCGCTGTACCTTTGTACACCTTCGTTTTTTCAATGAAAGGTCTCTGATTCTCTTCAGCAGCAGTAGATGAAGTAGCACAGCACTTTGATTGTTGTTCGTACAGCTCCATAGCTGTCTCTAACGCAGTAAACGCGTCAGCATTTGCTACTTTCGTTGTGGGTGTTGTCCTCGTCTTCATCCGTTTCATCGATGACACGGTCAGATTCTTCTTGCACGGAAGTCACAATCTCGTCATCATTTAGCATTTGAAATCCACTGTCTTTTACATCGTATGCCCATCTAGGTTTCTACATCATCAAAACTGAACAAAAGAGCCCGTATACATCCCTTCACTTGGAAACAAACTGACCTAATATTCTTCTCAGATGTTTACCAAATCACACAGCTGAAATTCCCCAAACATCCCTCGCCTTGGGTTTTCCCGTCACTTTTGGCCTCACAGGAAACAAATGTTGAGCACTGTTCGAAAAGGTATCCGGACTTTCGTTCGGATATTTGACGCTCCGGATAATAAACATTCGGATAAACGACAATCTACTGCATATAGGCAACGTTTTTCTCATTTAACTAAATCTAAAATTAAATGTGCTTGTGTGCAACTATAGATATGAAATTAGCACAATAAATAAAATTAAATAAAACTGCAATATTTTACTTAATTTATATTTATTGATTTTTATGGTACAATTTATTCCTCTCCTGAGAAGCAAGGTTAACTAGTGAATGCAATCATTTTTTAAAAAAAGTGCAGCCCTTCGAAATCCTCTGCTTCCACAATCGAGCCAAAACAATTGCCCACCCCTGCATGGGACTTTTATTTGCTGTTAAATTTAGGACATTGTTTTTTATTACGGTAAAATGTGTACAAAAGAAGGCATAAAAAGAGTGTTTCTGTCAACTTAAATTCATTTGATCTTTGTCTTTAAATATTTTTAAAAGTCTTAAATCTGTAACCCAAGTTTCAAAATGTGGTCGTAAAAAATATTTTCAGCAATTTGGGGAAACGAAATAAACAAACTTTTATTTCGCAGGCTTCAGGGTGGCATTTTATGGTAGCTAAACTAGCTCGTAACTCTACATGTGAGAAAAATAATAAAGAAAGCAAACTTCGAGATTTTTTACACTACTTTAAGGGAGCAATGTTGTCTAATAACCAGAACTTATCAAGTTTTTTTTTTCCAATTGCAACCCCAGTTATCCAAGTAAATAATATTTCCTCTCGCAACTTTATAGACAAAGATTACAAATTGAAATACAGTAATACCTCGACTTACGCGAATTCGAAGTTACGAAATTTTCAAATCTTATCGATTCGTCTTTTATTTGAGAAAAAAAAAATTGGTGAAACTGGTAATGTGTATGTTGAAGAACTTGCCGATCTTTTGCCAGGCAAATAAATTTAGAAGTGGATAGTGATAACGTTCACAAACTGCTGGATTCCCACAAATATTAGCTGGCAATGGATGAGCTAATAAAAAGGCATGCGCAAAAGCAAGACATTGAAGAAGTCAGTCTTTAGACCCAGTTCAATCAGAAGATCGAATGAAGGTTGGAAATTTGACGGTGAGGCCTCGTACAGTTTAATTGAAACAAGTAACATAAAGAAAAAAAATTTAAGTCAATTCCTACTTAGGTCAACAAAGAAAATTTTTATTTTAGTTACTTTTTGTTAGATAATTACAATAAATATAAATATGTTTATACATATGACAGAATCACAATATTAAGTGGCAAAATAGAAGGTGATTTTCCTTTCTAATATGGTGTTGGACTATTAGATTTTTTGTTACTATTTATTCATTCATTATTAAATCGCATTCACAGAAATTAGGCTTTCGCGGATAGGCTTCGAACCTACAACCTTTGGATTAGAAGTCCAACGCGATATCCATTGCGCTACAAGGACACAACGAGCGATTTTCCTTTTTATATATGGCGTTGGAATCGGTATATAAGGAGGGATTTTGTGTAACTCATACTACGTGAAGTCTTATAGTTGACTAAGTCTTAAGCGCTTTGTGGCTACATGAATGAAGCGAACTGATTAGACAGATAATTTCCTTATTGTCATTTGGCAACACTATATTGTTATTCCATACTGTTTACCTTTCCGAAGAATGTCGTTCAACAATGTGCCTCATATATTTTGTCTCGTTAACAAGCAGTATTAACCCCTTCCAGTTCATTTTATTTCTGAATTATGGATCAAAGAATATCAATTTTTTAATGTTTGTTTTCAAACATACATATCTTTTTAAGCATAATAGCTTCATTATCGTACAAAATTTCCTCAAAATTAATGCTAAAAAATCTATTTGAATAAATGAGTAATTTACCTGTAAAGTTGACTTTCTGAAATCATTAGACTTTAGAGTCAATTTTACTAACTATAATTATAAAGCTTAGAATACCTAGCTTTTATCTTGATTACAAATTTTATGAACATCTTTTTCATTTACATAAATGATTATGAAATTATTAATCAAAATTTTAACTTGTACGATAAATTTGAAAACACGATACTGCACATAACCCAACATCGTAATCTGGACTGTAGAGTCTTGTTTTTCTTCTTACCTCTTTCTCTTTGAACAGCAAATAATAAATACACTGTCGTGTTGAATTATTTTTCTTCTCTGTTGGGGGAATGTAGTCATCAAAGTGTCTTTCAGACAAGTGTGAAGGGAGTTGCTCAGCAGAAGGACGTCTTCTTTTTGCACAAAATTCCACCGAGTGGTACTTTTCAATTACTTAAAATCATAAAAAACACACGTGAAATAATTCGGGAAAGACCGATTGCACAGTGTAAATTTTCACAGTGCCCGAGCTACACTCGGGATGAACCAGGATGGTACGTTTCACCTGCCCGAGCTCAACTCAGGAAAAACCGGGAAGGAGTTAAAGCTCATTTTTTTTTTATTGATCTGTGTGACATCGTTAGGCATTAAGCAAATATGTGAGCACGCTTTATGGAAATTCTATGTGTGTCTTCCATCAACTCAGCATAGTCACCCACAACTTAATTCATTGTTAGACTAATATTGATATCCCCCACCCCATTTATTTATGTTTTTCTTTTTCCGTAGGGCTTTGCAAACACATAATCTTTGAAACAATATGGAGGCCATGGATATATTTCTAGCGACGACCAAAGAAATATCATATCTAATCATGAATCATCCCTTCTATTCTGCCATTGGAGGTTTCATCTGTTTCATCAGTTTGTTAACATTTTATTGCAGACTCACGCTAGGAATATGTGACTGTGATATAGATCTAATTGGAAAAACCGTCCTTATAACGGGAGCGTCAGCGGGTAAGACATTTTATTTTTTTTTAAATTTCTATAAATTAGTTGTAAACAACTGTGTTAAAAAAATTTCTAAATAAATGGTGCAATTTTACTTCTTCGTGCGTTACTCATCTGAAAAATATGCACGGTAGTAGAAATTGGTAAAAAAAAGCAATGGTGAATTGTGACGATTCCCGCCGCACAGCTGTGAGTATGGTCATCACACGTGCATTGACACCTGAACCCTTAAAAATATTTCACAGCTTGTCTTGGACAAGGAACCCCCTATTCCGTGACTTACGAGATGCAACCTGAGGATGAAGGAAGCCACCTGCGACCCCCGAAACCTGAGAGAGAGAACGGGAGATGCTCTGAAGGCTTCGCTGAGAACAGACGCCAAAACTCCTCCCTCACAAAATAACAGAATTCGGGACTCTAATATAATATAATCTAATTACTAAGTTAATAACTTCAATGTAAATTTGTAAATGGTAGCTGTGACATAATTAAACTTAACATTCTAAATAACCAATATCACGCTACCTTTATTTGTCTCAAACGTTGCATGAATAATTTCTGTTTGATGTGGACATTTCTTATCACAGGGTACAGGCATTTTCCTCTTGAAAATTTCGGTTGGAGAGTTAAAAAATATTTAATTTTTTTTGAAGTTATATGATCTAGTTGAAAGGATTTCTTGCGCATCCTCACAATAGTTGGTATTTAATATATTAAATTAAATTGAAGCTTAACAAGATTAAAGAGAAGCTTTAAACCTACTTTTTTTATATATTGCTGTAGCTGGGCTGAACCAGTTGTCATAGTAACGAACGAAAATGTTGAATAGCGAGCTCTATTTCAGATTTCACGAAATGTCCATCATGGGAAACAATGGGGAATACCGCATGTTAAACAAGGCTGAGCATCAAGCTCCTCAAATGGAATGGTGAGGAAGTTAGGAAAGAGTAATATAGAACACAAGAATTGTTTTTGTATCAAGATGTCGTTAATTCGAACAAAACCTTGTAATGGATGGGCTATTCCATCCATTAGTGTGCGAGAGTTGGAAGGAAAACTAGCCATAGTCAAAACAACACAATTTATTTACTATTCTCACCAACGACACAAATTCAACAAGTCAAGTTAAGAAATGCACCAATTCATAAATATGATAGCAATAGCGAAGTAGACGAGATAATTGGAGATATAGTAATAAATCGGATCACTTACACTTAGCACTTCCAGGCAATACACCTTCGTATATTTGAAGATAATTTCTAAAGTAATCCAATCCAAACGGACCGAATCCAATTTAACAACTATTTGAACCAATCGACAATCTTAATATTAATCAAATACTCTACGAAGTGCTCTCGTCTAGCTTTACATTATCTTACGTTACTCTTCACGCTATCCTTTAGCTTCTAATCTCTCTCTCTATCTCTCTCTCTCTCTCTCTTACTCGAATCTGGAAGCTAATACTTAAATACATGACATAATTTACATAGACCTCATCTTCTTCTTCGGGAGGAAGTTTTCAATTAAATAATATATAAAGGTAGTTATTCCCCTATAGGATTGTTAGGAAAAACGCGGATAGACCCGTTACAACCTTTTTATACAAAAATTCTGGGACTTAAAACTACTTCTGCAATTTTAATTCGTAAGATTCAATAACATATATTATGCTGGGTTTGTTTTTGATTCAACATTTGTTGAAATTTTGTTTAATAAAATTGCTGAGAAAAAGCAGGGAGCAACAGTCGTAAAATCTGACATCAATAGTAAGAGCGTATATACAAATTTATTTACAACGCAACTTATTTATAAATCATTCCATACCGATGACATGACGAAATCGTTTCGATTAAAATTAAATTATATGCCAATATAGTCGTCAAGTGCAGTTCCCGGGTTAAGATCAAAGTGGTTAGTATCATTTGGATCACCTAAAAAAGGATTCATTTGTACCTAAAGTACGAGAGAATTAAATTTTCCTAACAAAAATTGAAAATGCTTCATCAAGGTGAAAAAATGGATGGTATAGTATATTTAAAAACTGTGGATATGTCATTGTTTTAAATAGTAGGTTACAATTCGTTTTCTAGGAATTCAACTTATTCTTTTAAGAAATAAAAACATCAAGAAACAATATTAGTACCTTAAGATGTCTATTTATTAAAAGTATGTATATTTGATTCGCGTCAGACTGACCACCTGACTGGAACGTCTACTCATTCACCTCGGCGCCCACTGTCGCGAAAACTGGAGATGGAACAGGAGAAAACTTAAAGATGGACATTGTTGGCTTTGGTCCGCCAGGGGCTGTTGTGCAACTATATTAGTTTTATGTATATTTGATACCTTTTTTTATTGAATAAATGAATAAAATCAGTGTATCAATGTAAAATGTCGTAAACCTGCTGCTTGTTGACTTATTTCATAAAAAGAATGCATGAAGTAATTACTTGAGTCTTTTGTGTGGTACTAATGTTACTTATTTGATACAAAATGTGATAACACACATATATGTATGAGGACATGTTGACTAACAGCAGATGTGAATTCCAAACAGCTTAAAATAAGATAGAATTTATCTATATTAGTTCAGCTCCTAAGATGTAAATAGTACTTTTAACAGAAATTTATGGAAATATTGTTTCGCTTTAGATTTGTGTCCTTCAATTTCAATCCGTGCGATTGCATTTCTCGCTCCTCGACCTTCCTCATTTCATAACTAATTTTGGTTTTTTCGTCCCATTTTCATGAAATCAAGAGGAAGTTCGCAAGCCGTCGTATTTTATTCCTAACACATTTCGATTTTTATTGATTTTCTAGCTTTAAATATCGATTATTTTTGTACCAGATTCTATCATCGTAATCGTTTGTAGTTCGCTAACCAACGCAAAAACCCACAATCACGATATCTCACCATTTCAGCTCTGTTATGCTTATCTAATATTTATTGCAGATTATTTTACATTTACTGTAGCTTATCATATGCATTCCATAAATTATCTGATTCAAAAGATAGAGAACATTGTTTAAATATTCCACAATAATTTGTTGCAATATATCCTTACTGTGTATATGATATCGGAAATCAATTTCTGAATTCTACAAATTTGATTTTGACTTTTTCGCCCTAGATTTCTTTGATTCTTAGAAAATGTTGTAAATGATTCTAATTCAACACAAATTATACACTCTATAACAAAAACAAAAACTACGCACCAAGAACGAGTTGTCTGATAGAGACAAAAATTGGTGGGTAGAAATATTATGTACAGAATAGAAAATGATTAAAATTTCAGAAAAATTTAATGATTTATTTGAGTTACATAGTTATAAAGTAACGAGCTCAATAAGGTGTTGACCGACCTCTAGCCTGGATGCAAGCTGCCACACGACGTGGCATAGAGTAATAAAGCACTCTGATAATCTCCTGCGGTATTTCTTGCCAAATTTGCTCCAACTGTCGGGCCAGGTCATCAACATTCCTTAGTAGATTCAGTCGCCTTCCCATCATATTCCAGCCATGCTCGATTGGAGAGAGATCTCTCGATCTGGCTGGACAAGGAAGTGTTTGACAAGCTGTAAGACATTTCAT